GGATTCCAGCGGTTGGACGAACATTCAAGTCAATCGAAACAATAAATGAACCTGTTTCTATACCTGACCATGATTTTTTTTTAGGCAAAAAAATGAAACTGATTCCATCCGTATATCTTTTAATAAATCCAAATGATATGAATGATAGTTTTCGTTCAGGACACTTTACAATTTACATTCGACCTGAATATTTTGTAGGTACAACTGCATTGACACATATGGCTGATTTGATTTCAATAACGAATTCGGAAGACTATAATGAAGTTATCCGCATAGAAGAAAAAATTAAACCATTGTGGGTTTTATTAGTAGACGGTGGACCGGATGAAAATTCAAAACACCTAAAAAATATCATAGAATATTGTAAACTTTTTTGTTTCTTGGACCTCGATTACATAACTGTTCGTACTCATGCACCTGGTCAGTCTTTTTTTAATCCTGTGAAAAGAGGCATGGCACCTCTCTCGTCTAAGTTAGCTGGAATCGTATTATTTATAGATCATTACGGTACTCACCTCAATTTTCAGGGAAAAGTTATTAATGAAGAATTGGCAAAAAAAAATTTTCGTTTCTCAGGTATAGTTTAAAAACTAATCTACTTACTTAATGCAAAATTATAACATTCGTACATAATCCTATTTCCAGAAGAAAAGCTTTGTGATATTTGGCAACGTGATCAAAGTCATGGAAGGAACGTTAGAACTACATATATGGATATGCACATTAATATGTTTGATGATGATGAAATTTCATGGCAATGGATTGAAGACCATTGTCAAATCTGTCGCTATTCGCTCGATATTCGTAAATGTAGAAATATAAATTGTTGTAAGCCATCCCGCGTATCTGAAGCAACAACTACTTTATTACAAGAAAACAATGAATTCTTACCCCCAATGATTAAAGGACATGATCAGCATTTTTTAAATCCAATTCATATTCTTGAATACTTCGATCAAGTCAAAATCTCACCCTACGATAAATATTGTCTGACTATTTCAGAAGAAATGCATCAGCGTTTATGTTGTTCAGAATGTGGAAAGTATTTCTCTACCTTGAATTTTGTTCAAAAACATAAACAGTCTCAACATTCTGCTCGTAAATCTCGAAATTCTAATTTAGCAACACATGAGTTTATATACTCTCAACCCTATGTGCTTATAGAGCCATATGTGTCTATACAAATTAAAGAAAATGATTTCGAATATAGTCTTTCCAATAGTGAAACGCTTAGATAAAGGAAAGTATAGTTAGAATTAATAGCTACGTAGTAGTTAGATTAATCTAACTGTTTTATAATGCGTAGTATTCTACTGGCAAGAATGCACAAAGAGGTAAATAAGAAAGTGTTTAAATAAAAAACGTGGAGTTAATAAAAGAATACTTTTGAAGTTTTAAATGTTACATATCTTCGTAGTAGTAAAAAGATCGTATTATTGATTTTTCATGTGCAGATATACATATTTATTTAAAATAAAAAGGCCATCATAAAGTCACAGATCAGTATAAATATACCATATGCCGTGTAAGGTACCCGGGTACGATTTAATTTCACGTGGTAAAAACTTTGATTTGTACCCCGGGTACCTTGTATGGTATAGTATACATTGTGTGAAGCGTAATACGGTATTAGCCCATAAATAAAAAAAATTTATTATTAGTAAATCGGCCTTTGATTTGTACCCGGTACAAATCAAGAGGGTACCGATCAAAGAGATGGTAGGTGAGCAAATCTGTAAGCCGGAATTATAGCTAATTGGTATACATAGCAGATAGTATAAATGGCCTATTATACATCTGCACCTCGAATTGTATAACCATTAGCACTAACCAATCAGAGAACAAGTATTATATATAACCTGACTGGACCGGGAACCCCCCCTAAGAAATCAGCTAATTTCTGGTGGCCCCCTAAAGTAAAAAAAAATTTTGAAATATTAAAATTATATATTTTTTATTATAATAGACATTCATTTACCTTTAAGCAATAATCAATTATCGAAGAGCTATTAGAACTAACAACCCCTTATTAAAATGAGCAACTAGAAGAGTATTTTCTCCTATTTGGTCTGCAAAACGTCATCTTATATACCATTTTATAGAAGTTTCTAATGAAATTCAATTAATTTAGCTTCGTCTCAAAATACAAAACATTATAGAGAAAAATTGTGTTGTCTCTAAATCTAGTATTTATAATCAACATCAAGATTTAGATGCGGTTATGGAGGAGATAAACAAGACCCTGAAGTCTTTAATACCACCCATTCCACAACACTATTATTGGGTAACTGCAGCACATAATTGTAAAAAATTTCTTGAAGTAATATCTGTTTTAATTAAATTATCTTTATCTATGTTTTTACTAAAAGTTTTATAACAAACTATAGCTTAGAATAATTTATTTGAAACAATCGGATATAATAACTCTCAAGCTTTGGGATTAAGAACTCGGCCAGAATCATCAATAAAATGTCAAAGATTTCAAACTTATCTTTGAAATCTTGAATTTGTTAGTCAGAGTTTTGAAAAATATAGATTAAATGAAAATTTAAAAATTTTTTTCCATTTAGCAAAACAAGCTTGTCGAGATTTTATTACTAAAACATTTATTAATAAAAATAAACCATTATTATTTAGATCAATACCGATCACACGGCAAGAAGCTGAAGCACAAAATAGTGAAGAAAATATAAAGAAGCCTGAAATTTTAGTAAAAATAAAGGCCCTTCTTGAGCAGCTTAGTAAAGATATTCAAAAAAAATATTCTAGATTGGAGTTGAAAAATCGAGCTGAATTATTAAGCATATTACAAGAGGTAAAGTGCTTGTTTATTTCAGATGATGAATTTGATGATGAACTTAGTAATCAAAATTTAGAAAACTCCAAGTCAAACTAGATGCATTATATAATAAGTAAAATTTAATTATTTAACAATTCTCTTACAAATTATATATAATTATAAAAGTTTTTATTATTTTTTAAATAAATATAGTTGTTCTTCTATATAATCACCCCTATACAGAAATAAAAATTTAAATCTAAAGCAAATTAATTTAAATAATTTTATCTGTTTTGTTTAATTTTAATTTAATTTATTAAATTAAAAATTTATTATTTCTTGAATATTTTAGAATTTAGTAATTAGAATTAAATAAACTCTTATTTATTAAATGTGTCTTACTGAGAGCTTTTATTTAAAAAAAGTTTATCCAAATTGGACTGCTGGTTGCCAAGATAATTACAAAAAACTACTTTTTGTATATTTTGAACCCAAAGTAGGTTATATTGAACCTGAAGTAAGTCCACTTTGAACCCAAAGTGGATCCGGTTATGTTTCTTTAGATTATGCGAGAAGTTATTAAGTAAAGATATCTTCAAGCTTTAAGTAAAGTTGTAGAGGGAATAATTCGGAGTCAAATGGTAGTTAAATCATCAAAATCGGGCTAGTAGTTATTGAGATATATAAGATTAAAGATCTAAATATACAGTAGTCTTACAGTAGTCTAGAAAAGAAATCTAGAACAGTCCGATGGATAATCACTACCAAATAAGGTGTGATTTGCAATAACCAAATATGGTATATTCCCTGACTGAAATACGGAATAGTTGATGAAGTTTAATTTTACGAATGAACTGTACATAATGAAATAAAAGAGATCATTGTGGCTGGTTAATGCGCTGTCAATCTGGCACATATTCAAGAATTGCAATATGAGTATAAAATTTTTTACTTTAATTTCGTTTATCATAATTCTTCATATATTCTCAACAGATATTAACAATATATTTGGCGCTTGGAATTCTAACCTGAGATTCATTTTTAAACCAGTCAACAAATTTATATTCATATTTGGCTTTTTTAATAGCGGCACCTGTTCGTGTGATATATTTGTTACAAAAGCCTAATTTATATTCAGGTCCTTTTTTACGTTTCTTATTAAGATTTATTGGCTGACAAGAGCAGTCTTTCTATAAATTTTTATACAAGCTAAGCACACCAAACATGTTTGACAAGCATTTGAATAAAATTTAAAAAAGTTGATATTATTGTTATAGAGAATATAAAATTACCATTATTATACAAAAATAGCTTTTATTATTTTTATTATTATGGATCATGCTGAAATCAATAACTTAACTGAATCAGCAGAAAATCATTCTGTCAATTTTTATCAGGTGTTCCAGAAATTATGAAAGTAGCTGTAAAAAAAAATTAGATCTTAGGGCCCGGACGATGCCTGGGTAACAGGAAAAACTATCAAAATATAAATTTAATTTTCATTCTCTGTTCTCATTGTATCGACCAGTCAAAAATATCACTATGAGATTAGTCAACCAATCAAATTGCAAAATTTACAAAAAGACGAAATTGTGGGATTCAAGGGGATTCAAAAAATATGTTGTAAAGCAAAGTAAGAGCTTCAAGTTTGTTTAACCATTTTCAATATTCATGGAAAAGATAAGTCAAGCAAGCCTTCCAAAAAAGTATTGTAAAATAATATAAAAAAAAATCTTATCAATTGTGTAATGATTTTGTAATATATCAATAGTTCCTCCCTTCAAATCAAATCATGTGATTTATGTAACATTATAGTAAAAAAAAACCGTACTGTAATGCGATTTACAATATAATAATAAATTAAATACATATATGCATATATGCATATAAGATTGTTGAATGATTTATATTTATTGAGGCCTAAAAATTAGCAAAAAATTAAAAACTAGAACCCAAGCAATGCCGGGTTCTATGCACTAGTCTTGATTTTTATGAGATGCTTTAAACTATTTTGTGCATAGTGGTCTTCCTCTATTACATCGTTTTTTTGGATTCTGTAAAATAATTTCAGTGTTTTGCTTATCACTTGAAGAGTCATCTTGACCATATTTTTCATTAGAAGGTTCTTCATCATATTTATCATATTCGTCATCTTCACCAATGAATTCTTGCAAAATTTTAATAAGACATTGTGATTTTAACTTGGATGACAATGCTTTTTGTAAAGCTTCTTTATATGCACTATGAAGATGTTCATATATAAATCTTTGCTCTAAAATATTCATTCGCTGTTCAATATTATTGTTTGTGTTATCAATAGCACATAAATAGTTAAAAGGTCGATTTTCTTGTGATAAATTACTTGAATTACCACAGAACTTTTCAGCAACAATAAAAGGTTCGTTTGATGCATTTTTGTTTTTTGATACCAATGAGACAGAATAAGCTGTATATGAAATCTGGCTTTACTTGTATTCTACATCACCTGAAAATAGTGTTGACAGATAATTTCTTGTCAAATTATTATAAGACATGAGTATAAGTAAGCATTATTTTTCAAAAGAATAATGTAATGCTTAAGACTTGAAGAGTTCCCAACTCTAATACCCCATATTTCATTAATATCATCAAAATCAACAATGTCTAATAACTAACATATAGTAGCTTGTTGATCATCAACACTTTCATTTTCATTGTGTCACATCAAGATTATCAGAAAACAGTGCATCTTCCCTACTAACTAAATATGCAACATAATAAAGTAATTGGTTGATTTCATCACGTTGTGTATTTAAAATTTCTGGTGACAAAAAGCTTTGACAATATTTATCTACTTCCAAGAACAAAAAATTCGTATGCTCAAGGTTTCTAAGTGATGGTATGGCAAGTTTTCAGTACTGATACTGATTCTGTTTGTCCTGTTGATCAAGCAACATATATATTTCTGACATAAGCTCACAAAGAAAAATATTAGAGTTGTATAGTAGTCTTTTAAGTCATACGTTCATGGCTTCAACACGAGATGTAGAAATCATTCCTCCAGTAAATTTAAAGGCAGTATAAGAATGTGCCCAATACTCCTTAGATTTATAAAGAACCTCTAAGTAGTGTTTTCCTCTTGGATAATCTTCTAATAGTTTTGTAAACTGTTTGTGAAATATTGCTTAAACAAGGCTATTTCTACAGTTGTAAAAATCATAAAAAAACTTTTATACTGATTTCCAAGTTGCTTATAAAGGTTTTTATGAATGTTCTGTGAAATATGAAATGCACAGTGAATCAGGTAAGTAGTTTGAAATATTTTCTTCACCACAGCATCAACAGCTAGGTCAAAATTAGTTAGAATTACAGTTGGCTGTATGTTAGTAGCTGTTATAATTTGCCTGAACATTCAAGTATAAGGATCTAAACTTTATCTGCAAGCAAACCTTGTGCAAGCAAAATATTTTGCCTGTTTTGATTAAACCCCAAAAAAAGTAACAAAGCCATTCCATACCGATTTGTCTTATGAGTTACATTATTAATTACACAGTCACTAAATTGAATCTAATTCTCTACTTGTTCTGGTGTCATCCAGATTAAATGAATAAGTGCATTGTCATCGTTATATTCTCTTGCTACAAACCACTGAGGATCCTTATCTTTTGCAAATTTAACCAATCTGATATTTGTGCTACATCGTTTGAGAGAGATTTAGCTATAGGCTGAATTTTTCTAATTGCAGCATACAAATCACTGTTGAATATTGCATGAGTTGGATATTTGCCTTCTAAGTACTTTCTTTGTGCAGTAGCTCCAATTTTACAATGCTGTGTTAAGAATTGAATATCTTCTATCATCTCATCACTGAATTTTTTATTACATTCAAATTCAACAGCATCAACACTAAGCTTATAGTTGTGTTCATCTACAATTGTATTAACGAAGATAACTAAGTTGGGGTTCTTGATTTTAGGAAAGGAGGCATTTACATGCCACTGGCATGATATTTTTTAGTGCTAGTCTCTTTTTTGGAAGTTGTATCATAGCTTCGTCCATGTTGGCAAATGTAGGTCCTTCTTCTAATTATGTTATCCTCTCTATAAACACAATCTTTAATAACATTAAACCCTTTATTTTTTCCCCATTCACTCATAAATAAGTCGCATTCTACCCAATTCTTAAATACTTTTCCAATATAAAGCCTTGCATTCTCACTTTCACCATCGTTAATTAACACAGTTTCTCCTGGTTCGTAGCTTTCTATGTTAGTTTATTACTCATTGCACAAATAAAGTATACTTACCTTTTGAAGCTTATATTTATACAGTCAGACCCCCCTAAATGCACCCTCTCTAAATGCAGCACCTCTCTAAATGCACAATATAAGCCCGGCCTGTGGTGGAATCTATAGATAAATGCATGTTCTTTATTCTGTAAATGCATGCTATTTTTTAGCTCGTTTATAATAAACTCCCTTCATAAATGCATTCACGTGATTTTTAACCAATCAAATTCGTTTGATTTTTAATAGTTTTACATGATTGATTCATGGTACCCACACCATGATCCACGGTATTACTTAAACATATACCTGATTTCCCATTACTGTATTGTAAAAAAAAGTGTTAAACAGCTTTTTAAGTTTTTAAAGCTATTAACTCTAAGACAAGAATTCGGTTAAAACTAGGGCCGCCACTTATTTGGAGCATTGTTAATCAAAACGTAGCTTAGTAAGATTGATCATTTTCTGAAAATTGTTACACACAGTGATAAAAAATTATAAGATTCTTATAATTTTAATCACTTTGTATAACAATTTTTGGGAAATAATCAATCTCACTAAGCTACATTTTAATTGACGACACCCCATTTAGAATCAGCCAGGTTCCATTGATCATATTACATTTATTGATTATAATTGAATCATTGGTCAATTATCGGTATCATTATTCTCATTTTTCAAGTTTTTATATTGCATCTACACTTTTGATTTTTTTTATCCAAAGTAGAGCTTATTTATTATGCTTGGAAGCTAAATTTATGTTTTTTAAAATAAATGATTAATGCAAATGACATAATTTGAAGGGTCATGAGATAAAGGAAGTAATTAATTGCAAATGAAATAATTTAAGAGTATTATATAATGGTAAATTCTATTATGTTAGTATTAGTTTGTGAACTTTATTTTTATTGATCTTAATCCAACCAACTAATAAATAATCTTTTATTTATAGGCCGAATAAATAATTAACCAGAATAAAGTGATTCGAAGAGTATTATAGAATAGTAAATTAAGTACTGTATTTATGTATAAGTTAGTTTTTTGATTTTAATTTCGATAACTAATAAATGTTGTTTATGTTCAGAGTTGATTAAAGTGAATGAAATAAAATAATTTATCATATGTAGAGTAACCATCAAAATTTCAAGACAGAACTCAAGAATTCCAAGATTTCAAGACAGAACTCAAGATTTTAAGACGGGACTAAATTCCTTTAAAAAGATTAACTTTGAACTTCTTAACATTGAAGAAGATTTTGATATAATTATTAGTAAATATGCTTCAAACATTAAAATATTTTATGCATATTCACTAATCCTAAAACAAAGATCTTGTATTATTTTGAAGAGTATTATAGAATAGCAAATAATAGAGTTTGGTGAAATGATTAAGGCAAATGAAATGATTTGAAAGGTATTATTAGTTGATTTGTGAAATCAGGTTTGCTAATTATAATATTTATGTCCAGAGCTGAATGAAATAATTAATATAAATAAAATTATTCAAAGGGTTAGACTAGTTAAGAATGAGGCTTTTGTGCTTACAACGTTTTAATTTAGTGCATTATTAATATATAGCTTGTTAATTTAAATAATTCTTTAAAGAATTAATAAATCTTTTGTGATTTATAAAATTTTGCACAATCTGATCAGTAAATCTATTGTGCTAAGTACTGTAAAATGCTGTACCAACATACTGTATAAGGGGAAGGTGACTCTAGTACATGGTAAAGAAAACCAATACCCAATTTTTATATTCCAAATTTGTATAAGGTAAAATGCTGTACATATTACTTTATTAGTTAAATGCTGCACCAACATACTGTATAAGAGAAAAAGCACATAGTAAAGAGAACCAATACTCGATTTTTATATTATAAATAAAGTAATTCAACCAAACATTGGGAATTCTTTTCTTAAATATTTATTTAGCAAACGGGTTGTCTAACATAAGCAGTTATTACATAACTCAAATGTATATTATTAAAAAAATTAAAATAAAAAATACAAGCAATTCTCAACATAAAACCCAGCCAAAATCTTTCTATTTTGAAATTTTCTAATCGTATTATTGCGGTTTGCACAAAGGTGTAACCTCTGCAGTTCATTTTATCACATGAAATCACAGAAAATTAGAATATTTTTCGATTCTAAAATAACTTTTAGATTCTGAATAAGTATAAATGTTCTGCCCCAACAAAATTTAAAAGTAAAAAACATTACAACAATAAGCCTTAAAAAAATACTTATCTTGGTGTCATGTTCAAATCATATAGAGTGTCCAGAATTCTGCAATGCGTAAGTATACCCGCACCAAGTTTTTTATCTTAATGAAAAAAAAAAAAGAATTCAATGAGAAAATTACCATCATAATTCTGAATGCCAATTCTCTATATAATAAAGCATTATAATTAGATAAACATAAAAAGAATTTATCTATCACATTTTCGTTGAATAAAACTTACCCCTGTAAGTATGTCTTCTAAAAAACAAGTAAAAAAAACTACTCTTAGTAACAAGTAGAGAAAAAAATCATTAATTACAAAGAAAAAAACCCAAATATTAGCCATGTTGATCTTGCCACTTGGGTTAAAGAAAAATTTAAACTTGAAGTCCATTCGACTACTATTAGACGTTTAATAAAAAATAAAGATAATAATCCCACTAAAAAAAAGACAAAGAACAGTCCAGCATTTGGATCTTGAAAATGCATTACTTGAGTGGGTTTTACAAAACCAAGACAATTTTATAATAAGTGATGGAATTTTGATTGAAAAAGCAAAAACTTTTGCTAAACTTTTAAAAATACCTGAAAGCAACTTTAAGTTTTCATACAGATGGTTATTTAAGTTCAAAAAAAAGCATGGTTTAGAACAATTAAAAAAGCATGGAGAAGATGCTTCTGTAGACGATAATCAAGTTACAATAGCTATTTCTCAGTTGAGAGAGGTTCTAAAAGAATACAATTTAAAAGACATTTACAACATGGATGAAACAGGGTTATTTTATCGGTATATAACAATGAATAAGTAACACCAAGAGAAAATTAGACTTCAACAATATGATCGAAGTCTGATTTTCTCTTGGAGTCACCCAAATTGATACTTATTAATTTCTTCTTTTTTTTTCTTTCATGTGCTAGTCTTGAGCTGGATACCACACTAGTAACTACTTGTCTAAAGAGTAAATAAAAAGACAAAGAATGGTTAACTGTAGCACTTTGTGCCAATGCTGATGAGACAGATAAATTCAAGCCCTTTGTAATAGGTAAATCACCCAACTCATGGTGCTTCAAATGTATTAAACACAACAGGCTCAGTGTCATGTATGAGTCAAGTAGTAAAGCATGTATGATGACTGTGTTATTTCAAGCATGGCTTAAAGAATTCGATGTGAAAATGGCCAATCGTAAAGTAATTCTTTTAATGGATAATGCAAAGTGCCATTCCTCTAGCAATTTAAACCTTCACAACACTACTGTCCACTACCTCTCTTCAAACACAACATCTCGCATGCAACTACTTGATACTGGCATTATCATGTCTTTCAAACATCACTATAAAAATTATTTTATAAAATGGTTGCTTGATTAGTATGAATCTGGAAATGATGATAAATTAAATGTTCTTAATGCCATAAAATTTATTGTTCAGGTATGGAAACAAGTGTCAACAGAAACAGTATGTACAGTACATAGACAAAATAATTACCTTAAAAATAAAATTATTGGAATAGTTGAATTAATTAACAATAGAATTGAAATTAGGCTTTTTAAAAATTAAAAATTAAAAAAATTATTAATTATTAGACTGAAATAAATTAAATAGCATATTGTATCATCATGGAATAACGCTCCAGGGCATTATTCCGCAATGATATAGTAAGTAATTTATTAAAATATAGTTAAAACTTGAAAATGATTTCACCCCATCTATAGGTATGTAATTGCTTCTGGCATACAGGAACCCTTCCAGTTATTCAAAATAACGAAGAGCCTACTAATGATAATGATGATGAGTTAATAGAAGAAATGAAAGCGGATATTGAAGCACTTAATTTTCGAAATGCGATAGATCTTGAAAACTATATTAATTACCCAGAAGAAGAAGACACAAACGAAATCTTGGATAATCAGGAAATCTTAACTTTGGTTACTAATATAGAACCAGAGGATTTAAATGATGACAATAGTGAAGACAAAGATGACAGTAGAGAAATTCCTCTCATTGTCTACCACGAGGCGCTAAATGCTATAAAGGTGCTAAATCAACACCTTATACAACAGAATCTAAGTGATAAAGCCCAGTTGGACCACATTCTAGCTCTATTAAATTTACAAAAGACAATTAGAAAAAGTCGAAGAACAATTTTTAAACAAGTGAACCTTGAAGCCTTCTTTCAAGTTGATAACTAACTAAGTAAATCAGGTTAGAGATCATTAAATATAAAATGAACAATACATAATTTATATAAATAAAGTACAGTAATAAAGGGTGTATGAACTTGTAAATGTCTAATGATATTATAAAATACCTATGTGTATAGTATTATAAGATATAGTGATAATTGGGTATTATGTGACTACAGATATACTGTGATATTATTGGCTGTTTTCTAATTGCAGCCCCCCTAAATGCATGCATTGGAGGCGGTCTCAACGATGTGTATTTAGGGGGTCTGACTGTATATTTATAGGGTTATGAAGTCTAGTTAACAAGTTAATAAAAGATGCTATTTTACGTGACATAGTGATTATTATGTATGATCAAATATGTGCATCACATTGTATTACACAGGCAATAAATCGCATATGTGAAAAATTCTTAATCGCTATTTGTAAAATTAAAATAAAAAAAAGCTCATTGAATTTAGTTTAGTGGTTATTGAGAAACCTTTGCTAGGAGTTTTGAAAAAGCTTGAAATATAGAAAAAAAAATCTAAAATCGATATTACGATTAATTCATAACATTAGCATAGGTTTTCTTAATTAGTAATTGACACCATATATTAATTTTTAGATTTAGTAATTTATTAATTAGTATTATAATTACCTTAATTTGACAATTGATTTGTCATTGAGAATGATTATATGATATCTTTTTAATGATATTTACACATGTATATAAATGTTAACACCCTCTTTATATTAGAGTAGAAGTCATATGCCCTTTAAACTCCTTTAATAAAAAGAATTCTCATAAAATATATCCATGACCTAACTTATTATATATTCAGTTACTACTCTAAACTATCTTCTATCTGATGCTCTCCCAAATTCAAATGGTAATATTGGCAAATTTTTTCTTTTTGAAAATTTAAACAATAATTTCTTAATATCTATTTATCAAAATTTAATGAAAATTTTTTTATTTTGATTCAACAAGTCTGAAAAATTAAAAAAAAAACTTTTTTTACTGAATTTGAATAAATGGATGTTGAGAAATATTGATTAAAAGCTGAAAAAAACTTTGGCCACAGCTTTTTTATTTTTGATATCTAAATTGAAATGAAGATAACTCAGCACTTATCTGATCAAACTTGAAACGAAGATAACTCGGCACTTATCTGATCAAATTTGATCAACTTTTTTTATTTTAATTCTATCAAATTATTGAATTAAAATAAAAAAATTTGATTGAATAAGTTCAGGTAAGTGCCAAGTAATCTTCATTCAAATTTTAGCTATCCATAAAAAAAAGCTGTGACTAATTTTTTTTTTAACATTTAAATCGATATTTCTCAACATCTGTCTATTTAATTTCAGTTAATTTTTTTTATTTTAATTTTAAAAACTTGCAGAATCAAAACAAAAAAAATTCATTGAAATTGAATAGATAGTTGTTGAGCAATTATTAATTAAAGTTTAAATAAATAATTTTATTGCAACTTTCTTTTTTTTAAATTTTTTTACAAATCTTTAAATGATGTTTTCTCAATGCCTATATATTTAAATTCAATAAATTTTTTTTATTATGATTTTGCAAGTATGTAGGATTAAAATAAAAAATTTACTGAAATTGAATTAACAGGTTTTGAGAAATATCTATTAAAAACTAGAAAAAAATTTAGATGCAGCTTTTTTTTATAGATATTTAAATTTTGAATGAAGATTATTCAACACTTACTTGATCTTATTTGATTAAAATTTTTTTATTTAAATTCTATAATCTAATAGAATTAAGATAAAAAGTTTTGATCGAATTTGATTAAGGGTTCTACAATGAAAACCTGAAAGCCATTTTCCTGAAAAGACATAATACTAGCTGAATTGGCTAGCATTATAACTAATGCTGGCTAACTTTGTCAGTATTGTCTTTTTTGGAAATCTGTATTTTGGGATTTCAGTGTAGAACCCTGATTAAGTAACTGCTGAGTTATCTTTGTTCAAATTTTAAAGGTCCTAGAAAAAGCTGCTACTAAATTTTTTTTTGGCTTTTAATTAATATTTCTCAACATCTATCTATTAAAATTTGATCATTTTTTATTTTAATTTTATGTACTTGCAGAATCAAAATAAAAAAATACTCATTAAATTTGGTTATATGGGTGTTAAAAAATTATTGTTTAAAATTTCAAAAAGTAAAAATTTACTGATTTTAGATTTTCTTTCAAATATTTCTAGCTTTTTTAAAACTTCTAGCGAAGGTTTCTCAATACTCACTAAATCAAATTCAATGAATTTTTTTTTATTTTAATTTTATAAATATGGGGGCTGCCAGTAGAAACCAAGCAAATTGTTTCTAAGTAAAATTTTTTAAAACTTTAATTGATGATCCTCCAGTCAACTGAAGAATGATCATAGTAAAATGTGACTCAGATTACTATATAAATTTACTAT